GGCTTGTCCAGGGCAGCATCTGGTGACACCAGTGTAATACTCCTGCTGGAGACAGAGGCGGGAGCTAAATCATGAAGTGCCTGCCACAGAGACATGCTGAGTCTGGGCTTCACCCTTAGTGCAAGGAGAGGCCACCTAATTAGGTATACAAATACCTAGGGGTCCCTGGTGGTGGGAGGGCAGAGGCGAGACCTCAAGCCGTCTGCTCCTGGGGGTCTGGGGAGGTAGTAGTGGTGATGGTGGCTGCACCACAGCTGTGGACACGGGGGAGGGGCGTGGGGGAGCAGGGGGCTGCAAACAAGTTGAGAACAAGGACAGAGAACACTTCTGTGCTTACCCTACAGCAAGGCCATCCCTAGAGGAGTTGCAGTTCCAAGTCCCATGATGTCTGTGATGGTTACTGTTATGTGTTAACTTTGAGAATGTTTTTGGATGAGATTAACATTTAAATCAGTAGACTTTGAGTAAGCAGATTGTCCTCCATGATGTGGGTGGGTCTCATCCAGTCAGTTGAAGACATGAACAGAACAGAAAAGACCAGCCTCCATGAACAAGAGGGGATTCTCCAGCAGACAGTCTTACAGCCTTCATCTGCACCATTGACTCTCCTGGGTCATGAGACTGCCAGCCCACACTACAGATGTGGGACTTGCCAGCTTCCATAATTGCATGAGCCAATTCCTTATAATATTTATGTACACACACATCCTATTGGTTCTGTTCTCTGGAGAATCCTGGCTAATACAATTCAGACAGGAAATCTCTATCCCCAACCTTTATTTTAATTTTATTTTTTTTTGTGAGGAAGATCAGCCCTGAGCTAACATCCGTGCCAATCCTCCTCTTTTTGCTGAGGAAGACCGGCTTTGAGCTAACATCCATTGCCAATCCTCCTCCTTTTTTTTTTTCCCCTAAAGCCCCAGTAGATAGTTGTATGTCATAGTTGTACATCCTTCTAGTTGCTGTATGTGGGATGCGGCCTCAGCATGGCCGGACAAGTGGTGCATCAGTGCGCGCCGGGATCCGAACCCGGGCCGCCAGTAGCGGAGCGCGCGCACTTAACCGCTAAGCCACGGGGCTGGCCCCACTACCCCCAACCTTTAAAAATAAGCAAACCCTATCCCTCAGGGTCTGAGGGCCATTGGGGCCTGTTTTCAGGCAGCTATCCTGACGTTCCCAGGAAGATGAGACACGGCTCTGGAGCTGAGCGGAGCTGAATGGCTGGTACCTTTTATGCCGTCACCATTCCTCCTCTCTCCCACGAGAGCTGGGCACCTGCCGCGTTAAGACACGGGGCAGGAGGAGCAGTTCTCGCACCTGTCAGCAGCTACGGCTACCTCGAGAAGAACACGTAACCAGGAGGGAATCCTGGATGTCCTGCCCTGGGAATTCTTCCCAGAATGTAGAGATGAATGGGGAGTTGATAGACCAGGCCTTCTCTGTCAACATCCAAAAAATGTCAGATTTTCTTTGTTTTCTGGCCTTTATGTTTATCTTGTAAGTGCTTTGTTTGGGGAGCTAAGTTAGGGAGAACTGAGACAAGCTTTTGAAAATTCAGGCTAATTTAGAAGCCACGCGTGGATGCTCTACAGTAGTTTGCTAAGTTGATGCATTTCCACCGAGGTTTATTGAAGACTCCTCTGCTTGCAGATTAGCTGAGCGACTGGGCAGGCCACTCACTCCCCCGGGCAGGTGTCTCCCTCCTGAGAAATGGGGGTGGGGTGGCGGGTGGGACAGACTCCAATGCTGAGGCTGCCACCATTTCTAAAAATCTGATTCTAGAAAGAGGATCAAAGAAATGTTTGCTCCTGTATGGCTCTGCCCAGCATGGGTCCTGACACTTGACAGCGAATCTCAGGGACCCAGGACCAAAGCAGCTTACGTGCTCTGTAAAGTGACCAGAAACGGAAGCACTGCCCAGAACAGGTGTAGCTGAAAGTCTTTTACACACTGTCTCTCTCTCTCACACACACACACACACACACACACACACACACACTGCTCCTCCACATTTCAGTTTATCTCAGTATTGTGCAGTTAGTAAAATGTTTCTTTTTTTGTCTTGACTTAAAGAGATTCTGAAGATTGCGAGTCAAGCTGTCAAAAACTCAACGTTTGCACTAGGGTGACATAAAACTGGAACTATTACCTAAATTTAAAATTTTGTGTCCAAAAATTCTCACTATTCTGATTGGACTTTAACAGAAAACTATAAATATTAAATTGGGGGGGAAATTGGGGGCAAAAAGCGTCAGTTGCTTATAAAGTTTGGAAACCAACGCTGTGAGGAAAGGCAGGCGATGCTGTGTGACCTCCCGTGACAAGATGGTGGAGGTTCTAGTCCTGATAAAGTGAGTACCTGAGAAGGGAGGTCCTTTGTAAGCCCCCCGGGCGGGGGTGGCTGCGGGCAGGGGTGCGGGAAGGACTGAGGCAAATGGGCTGTCAATTCCGAAGCGGAGAAACCAAGGAGCTTACCGGTATAGTGCTTTTTAACGTGTAAAATGCTTACAGAAAATCGCATCACCACACTGTGAGGAACTGGTTCCCATTAGCATCTTAAACCCTGTTGATTAGATCAAGATAAAGGTCTTTTGCTTCTGTCCATGAAGAATTAAGTGCTACCGGAATTGCCCTCCCGCTGTAGTCAACAACTAGGAAAGTGGACGTAATATATGAAGCAACAGTTTTCACACATCAGGCAAGAGGCAGCCCTGGATTTTGATCCCTAAAAGAAGGGAAACAAGGCAAGGTCTACATTGCCCCAGTTTACTGCCAGGAGGTGGTGTCCAGGCCACAGCTCAGGAAGGGGGAACCAAACAGACCCCATGAGTAGAGGAGACACATCAAAGCTCAGGGAGGCCAAGACAGCCCTTGTGAGGCAGAGGACTGGACAGGAGGGGGCTGCCCAGAGAGCGGCCTGTGGAGACCTGCGCAGGGGCCCCTGCAGTCTGGGGTGGGATGCTAACTGAACACGTGTGAGAGAGAACTCAAGCCAGGAGAGAGCCACCTGGAGCTCAGGCAGGGCCGTGAAGAGTGTCCAACTGCCAGAGTGGCAAGACTCATAACATACAGGCATCGGGTAGAATTCTCAGAATAATGCCGTAAAAGTGGGGCAAAATTAGCCCTAAACTAAAGGCTGCATTAGACCCACCCTAATAAGCCTAAAAACAAGATTCAAAAGGATCAAACTGATCACAAGTAAGTTAACTGCACGCACGAACTGTCTACTGCTATTTAACAGAACACAACAGAATCCACCACCCAACAATACAAATTTTACAATGCTTGGCATCCAACAAAAAATTACCAGGCATGCAAAGAAGCAGAAAAATAAGATCCATCCAAAATTAGGAAAGATAAATCAATCAACAGAAACATCCCAAGGAATGTCAAAGATGATGGAATACTATAGCAGACAAGGATCTTAAACTACTACTATAAGTCTTACAATATATTCCGGCCTATAATGCACAAGGTATAGCCTGTGGGCCAAATTTGGCCCCCTGCCTGTGTTTGTAAATAAAGCTTTATTGGAACACAGCCAAGCTCATTCATTTATGCATTGTCCATTGCTGCTCCCATGCCACAATGACAAAGTTGAGTAGCTGTGACAAAGATTGCAAAGGGCTGCAAAGCTGAAAATATTTATTATTTGGTTCTTCACACCAAAAGTTTGCTGACCTCTGATGTAAAGGAAAACATGAACATGAGCAGGGAGATGGAAGATATAAAAAAAGGCCCAAATAAAACTTCTAAGGATAGGACATACAGTATTTGAAAAGCATACTGGATGGAATTAACATTAAGATGAATCTGACTTAATCTCTGTTTTCAAAGCTTATCATCTTGTTGGGGGAGGTTGAACTGACAGCAGATGGGTGTGAAGAAGGGAAGTGTGGCTGGGTTAAAAACCCAGCAGTTTGCAGTTCCAAATTCCTGGAATCAAGGTCCATACCAGGTTAAAATTCCTTGCCAAACAGTTGATGGTAACTGAAGCGCCTTGCCTGGTTCCAGAGGTAGGAGGGTGGGCACGTGGCATTGGCATTACTCCCTACCCCAGGGGCACGGCTGACAAAGGAAGCCCCGGTTTCAGCTCAGCTGTGGCCCTTTGATGGCACAGGCTCTAGTTCCTCAAGCCCACATCTTTATAATCAGCTACACAAGTTGCCACCTGATTCTGGGCAACAGTTCAGAGCTAAGCCACCCTTAGAAATATTTTTTTAAAAGGTCCTTACTGATTGAAACCATGAATCAGCAGCCTAAGTGTCTAATTTCAGGCCATCTCCATGAATGGGGTAAGAGGTTTACTACTAATGTTTATTTATGTCCGACTTACTAGGAGCCAGGCACTAGACTAAGGGTTCTACTTGGATTTTACTCCTTATAGTGCTTAGAACCCCCCAACCCCCACCCCTTTATAACTGAAGAAACTAGAGCAAAGGGTGATTAAATACCTTGACAAGTCATATGGCTAGTAAGTCCGGCTTCAGACTCAGGTGGTGTGATGCCAAGACGCGCCCCTGGACCACTACACTGGCTCCTCTGTACAGCATCTATTCTAACACCAGACAACACAGTTGGCAATTAATATATGAGACAGCTATTAATGGACCTCAGACTTTAATAGGACACTGGAAAACTTGGTGAAAGCTTGGATTTTTTTTTCTATTAGGGAACAAAATGTCTAAAGGAAAAACGAAATCAGATCCAGAAATTAAACTTTTTCATATATAACAAGACTCCATTTGCTCCTTAGGCAACTACATTTATTTAGAATCTTTGGAAACATCTTATACATACAAACATTCAGCAGTTTCATTTTTCCTGGTTTACTTCCCTCTCATGTTAACTCCAATTAGTGACATCATTACTATACATAAATGGCCCGAACGAGGCCAAAATGATATGTGTGGCTATGAGAGAACCACTCCTTTCACGTATTCCCATCTTCACATCCTCGTAGCTTGTCAGAAAGTTCTGATGCAAAAAAGTGTTTTTGGCAAGGCAATTATTCATGCAAGCAGAGACACAACCAGTTATGAGAAGCACTAGTTCTGTCAATTTATGGCAGCAAGGAATATAAAGCATCACAATTTCTTATCAATAGGCTTTTAGTAGCATGACCTAAAAGGATAATGTGTAAAGAAACACAACAACAATGTATTATTTCAAAATGTGTATTTAATGGCCATTCCGTCAAAATCAAGCAGAATCACATTTCAAAAGTATTTTATATATATATGTATTTTAAGGTGCATTTTCAAGTTTTATTTAGGCTTCATTTCTTCTTGGCTGCCTGAGGTGTTCTTGCAGATACAATTAATATAGAATGTTCTGAGGTTGATAGCTTCTCATGTGTTGAGAGACAAGATCCTAACAACACCGCATATCTTGGATACATTAGAAATTCCAAAAGCCATGTGTAATTTCAGAAAACTTAATACCAGTCATGAAAGACGTTTTCAACACAAAATTTAGGCACTCTAAACTTTGGAACAGCCACAAAATATTCCAACAAGAGTTAATGCACTTCATGATTACATCTACTCAAAGATAATTCTCAATTAAAATCTATTCTGCCCATTACATTTTGATAATTACTGTGCACCATTTGCAGCATTGTGTTTTAGTTAAATAATGCCAAACTACTTCTATTATTGATCCTGGTACTCATCCTTCATGGTACGTTTTTTACAGAAGAGCCTATAGCATTCACAGATAAGCGTCTCCCTCCTTTTCCTGCGAGTACTTGAATAAGAATGCCCCTAACCAACTTTATTCTTGTATTTTCTGCTGTAGTTGCTTTCTTAGCATGCAAAACTTCAACAAATGGGATGCTCCCTGGAGACCAGGAAACGTTATCTAAGTGTTTCCAGCGCTGATTCCTAGGCTCAGTTCATCTGCTCAGTCACTTTGTGGCTAGCACGTCACTCCATCTACGTTCCTGCAGTCTGTGCTGCTAGGCTGATGGGTATGGAGCCAAGGGGAAGCATGCTCAAATTTGTTACTCTACTCTGCACAAGGCCAAGGCCACCTAGACCTCGTCTGACTTGAGGCAAAACTTGCTGATCTCCAGAGCTTCCACCCCGTTGTCTGAAGACCCAGGGGTGGGAATGATGCTTGCCTACTGAGACGCCATCCGCTCCAGGTGAACTTCTTGGAATGGAACATAATTTAGCATTGTCAGAATTCAGAACATGTTCCTGTTGAGAATAAGGTGCATTTCCCAGTGGTATGCATTTATGTAGCTAAGAAAACAATTAGGAAGCCTTTCAGAATTTTTAGATTACAGTCTGCAAATTGACTCATCATAATCACCAATGACTAACGTATAAAGATCTATTCAGAGAAACGAATTTGAGCCTTATTTGACTATAATTCGTACAGAAGCAAGCACAGTAATTTCCCATAGGCGAATCTGGTATTTCATCACAAGGGTCACTGGTAAGTTAATTACACTGCTAATGTTTCTGGTGTACTTGAGGAGACAATTAGCATAAGTAAATCATGAGCGAGATGACAAGTTGCTTAACATTTGTTTCTGTTCGCTGCACGAGACTGAGGCTGTCGTTAAGCCTGCATGTGAGTAGGGATGAGGAGGGAAGGGCATGAGGAACCAGAGGTGGTTAACTTCAGTTTCAGCAAATATAATCAGAACCAATGACTGCTAGTTGATAAACATCGATGTTAAATGCAAAACAGATAAGGCTCATTCAAGTTTCAGAAATTACCCTCACCAAGAGGAGACAGAAGCTGGGAAATATTGGGGAGGCTGTTGACTTGGGAAATTTACGTGAAACCTCAGCCATCCCTCCTGAGGAGAGAGGAAGGATGGTAACAAGGAAGGTGGACTTGAGCTGAGACTGCTTTTCGTCCTCGTTCAGAACGTCATCCTCCTAGGGCTAGTCTACAACATCATCTACCTCGTGATCGGGACCCCGGGCTCACGACAGCACAGTTAAGATCACAGTCCCTCTCTGGCGTTTTAGAATGGCCACCGCTTGCTCATGAGTAACACCTTCCAGGGTCTCGCCATTAACAGCTAAAACCTGATCACCTCGCTTCAGCTGGCCGTCGTCTGCAGCTGCTCCCTACAAACAAGAAACATTCCAGTTTAACCCAGGGCGAATCAATTTATATTCAAATAAATATTAAAACCTCTAACCTGTGTCTGGTGTGCATGCTAAAAGAGTAACTTTAAAAGCTACCAACGAAAGTTACTCTAGGCAATGTTTTTAAATTAAGAAAATTAAGAAAAAAGTGGGATGTTATTTGAAAATGGCTGAATGGTAACCATAATTATGCATTGTTTCAACAACAAACTAGTAGAAAAGAAGGGACATTCACTTTTCTTTTAACAAGCAGGACCTTATTTCAACATTCAGTCCTGAATGGAACTTGACTGTCCTGTGATGTCCCAATCATGACGTCACATTCATGAACATGTAATACACAAAGGCAGGACCGAGTCTGGTGCTAGTCTTCCTGGCCCAGCCCATCAGCATCTCGGGTCCCATTGCGCTAGTGAGCCGTCAGCACTGTGGTCTGTCAAGAAGCAGCCTCCAGAGGGTGAATTGTATGGCTTGTGAATTACATCTCAATAAAGCTGTTCTCTGCATGAACACATACAAGCGTAGCATCTCTGCAACTTTGCATATCATATTCAAAAGCTCCAACTTTATTTATCTTTGATCATCTAAGTAGGTTTCTAAACGACTACTTTCACTCTACACTCAGTCACACACGGCTCCTCAAAAAGCACAAAGCAAGTGAGACTCGGGCTTTTTGTTCCTAAAGCTGAGTATCTAAAAATGCTGTGATATTACTAGAAATGTTTTGGACTGGTAAGGGAAGACAAGACCTAGAAAATGATTCACAGTCGGCTTTCTCCATCTGTTGGGGTAACTGTGAAAATCCCTTGAAAAGTTAGTGCCAGAGGGTCCTTTAAGTGATGCCCAACTAGAGGGGACACTAAGGCGCACAGGCACCGAGTCCCTGAGGGACTCGCTCAGAGGTGGGGAGAAGAGGTGCTGATGCTCCGGGGACCTGTGTCCCGGCAGTGGGAGGTCCTGCAGTGGCGGGAGAATTATCTAGAATTCCTCTACAGAAGTGTAGTAAAGAATATTCAAAACCATGTCTATACTGGGGGAAAACAGCAAAATTAAATAACTTGCAACTTGACTCAAATCTTCTTTCTTTTAGGAAAGTGTGTTAACTGCACTAAATCAGGACTAAACAACTAACTCTAATGGATAGAATCAGAATCACTAGGTAACTGGATTTTAGTAGACATTTTATACTAAGATTTAAGGGCTTCAGTAAACCTCAGATATCCGTGGAGTTTTTTTTTTTTTTTTTTTTTTTT